ATGTTTCATCATTGTGTTTGTCAATAAAAAGAGCTGTTAGATTCTTTGAATAGAATATCAACCATTATACATTTTTGAATGGTTGCAAAAGAAATAGTTTAAAATAATTTTTATCACCTATTTGTGCAATGTTCCTGATGAATGGTGACTCTATTAGTTTCCTATGGCTGCTGAAACAAATTACCACAAACTGGGTGGTCTATAACAACATATATTTATTCTCTTACAGTTCTGGAAGTCCAAATGGATTTCTCTGGGCTGAAATCAAGATGTTAGTGGGGCCACGCAGCCTTTGGAGGCTCTAAGGGACAACCATTTCCTTACCTTTTCCAGCTTCTGGTGGCTCTTCATTCCTTGGCTCATGGATTTGAATCATCACCTTTTCTCCCTCTGCTTCCATCATCACATGCTTTTTTCTTCTCTGTTTTCAAATCTCTCTGTCTACATTTAATTAAGGACACCTGTGATTACATTTAGGACTACCCATATAAACTAGGATAATCTCTCTACTTGAAAATCCTTATTTAGTCATATTTTTGAAGTTATCCTGTTATACCATACAGGATAACACTCACTGGTCCTGGGGATTAAGAACTGGATATTGTTGGGGGGCATTACCCAGCCTACCACAGTGACTATCAAGAATCTGAAGAGATTATCAGTTGACAGTCTTGATCAGAAACTATGTATAGCTATTTCAAGCATAAAACCTGATTAAAAAAAATATGTTCATGCAGGCAAGTTCAAATTTCTGACTCAAAAATTTGAAAAGATTTCATCTCAGAGTTTTTTTTTTTTTTGCGGTACGCAGGTCTCTCACTGTTGTGGTCTCTCCCGTTGTGGAGCACAGGCTCTGGACGCGCAGCCTCAGCGGCCATGGCTCATGGGCCCAGCCGCTCTGAGGCATGTGGGATTTTCCCAGACCGGGGCACGAACCCGTGTCCCCTGCATCGGCAGGCGGACTCTCAACCACTGCGCCACCAGGGAAGCCCCATCATCTCAGAGTTTTATACAAATTCAGTGTTTAATATTTCCCCTATTACTTTGTTTTTATTTTCATTACTTTATATATATTTAAAAAGCAGCTAATTTTTCACAAGTCCAATATAGAGGTCTACAAATTCCCTCCAGTTTACCCCAGGATGCCATACAAATATTACCTTCTTTTCTCTGTGTCATGATGAGGAAAAGGTTGGGAAATATAGCTCTACAAAGTTTAGGAAACTAATACAATGGAGGAAAGAATGCCGGTGGTGTAAGTGAGCTAAGTCCATATCTATTGTAACAGGAAGTCAAAACATACAATGCCTAAGATCCAGAAACCAAAGAAATAGCAAAATAAGCATTTAGAAATAACAATCAGGTATAACTGAGGTAACTGTCAGAAGAAAAATGGTTGCCTCTGGGGTACAGGGCTGGAATAAAGAGGGGCAGAACAGGAGAGAACTATTATTCATTATGGGCATTTTGGTATTTGCTAGATTTTTTTTAAAGATGTGCATAATTATTGAAATTTTTGTTTTAAAGTTCAATTAAAAAGGGTATCAGAACTTAACAGCAATATACCACATTTTTTCCTTTGGTCTTTTCTCTAATATGACATTCCTCCTCCTTTTCATTCTAAGGAGGAAAAACACACTGTTATTTTTTATTTGCTAATCATATTACCCATTTTAATGACCTATAATTACCCAGTTATTTAGGCTTCATCCAAAGAATAATCTTGAGGATCTTCTCTTTAATATTTAGTTAGGGTGGTGGGTATGAAGTGCTTAAAATAAATTTCCTGAGACTAAGTTAGGGAACAGAAGTTCTTTATTCCTTCCTTCCCAGTGGTGGCACTGGCAGGAAATTTAATAAGCTAGACCCAAGCAGAGATGTTTGGAAAACCATCAAAAGATGTTTGATGGAATGCACAACAGGGAATCTTTAATATGGTTGAAAGAGGAAGAAAAAAAAGGATTAAACTGAATACTTTTCTATTTAACAGCTCTTCTCTATGAGGATTTCAAAGTCACTAAGAATAAGTAACTTCATCATCTATGCATATGTCACCTTAGAAAAGCAGTATAATATTTATTCTATCTTATGAGTTTAGCAAGAGATGTATTATTTCATAGTGAGTTTTTTTTGTTTTTCCAAATTATGATTACTTAATGATCTATGTTTATTAGAAACTCTGAGGGAATACAGACTGTTTCTTTATGCTTATTCCTAGGCCTACTCACTCTGCCTCTATAATCGGGGGGGCGGTCTGTAGATGTAGTTTGGCATGTGACTGACATACAATTTATGGGCATCACCATTTGTGACCAACATTCTCCTCTGGGCAAGTGCAGAACAAGAGTAACAGGAGACAACATAGTAAAGACCTACCTTCTATGCAACTTTCAGAGGAGAACCCACAGGGAAATTATTGATATGCATGAACAAGATAACACATGTGGTTAAACTGCATTTTTGTGAGCCTAATGACTTTTAAGACTACTCAGAAGATTGGTTTATCAACTCATTAGACAATTATCTGTAATGTGAGACAATCCTGTTTTTTAAAACACCTTATTTGAAATAATTGCTACTGTTTTGATATAAACTTAAATAACCTTCAAATGTAGTTTTAAAAATCATACTGTGAATAAATGGAAGGATATAATTGAAATAATTGAAATTCACAACTTGTTTCGGAAAACTTCCTGATTCATTAACAACAGAGTGTTGGCAACACGAAAGAATGAAGTCTTTCTCGTTCTCAAGTATTTGGAAACATCATTCATTTTTTAGACTACTCATTCATTAGCAGTCTGTCTCACAGATATTACTAGATATCTTTTTCCAGTTAACCCTGTTTGGTTACCTTCTGACTCAAATAAAATGCCCTATTGTTAGGTCTAGTCAGTAACTGGCAACTTCTGACTAATAGTAGTCCCCTTTTTCTTCTTTCAGTGGGTGGTCTAGGATTTAGATGGATACAGATGGAAGCCAATATTGAGCGTGGGCAACAGTTTAGTGTATAGTTGTTGCCTGGTCTCTCGGCTAAACACTTTGTGCATGACATAGAAATTTTTATGTCTCTGACATGCTCTCCAAAACTGCACTGCTTTATTTTCTTGTGTGTGGGGAAAAGGGGGTACGATAGACAAGGAAAAAATTAAAAGACCACACACATTGCTGATCTGTACACTTATTTCACACTTTAGTAATTTCTAAACCACCCTGTATTGGATAATGCTCATGGTGGGTAGTCAGCAAAGCTTACTGTAAAGTCATCACGGCGTTGCATTTACTGCTATTACTCTTATACTTGGCCCAAGTTCACATTCTAGGTGGAAATAACTGAAACTTAAAAATTATTTACCTCTAAATATAAATTATAAATTTAATCCTATTTACAGCTCTCAAAGAGTAGCGAACAGGATACAACACTGCAAGTTAAAAAGATTTAGTGGCACTAAACTGGTCATTCAGAATACACTTATTGAGTGCTTGCTATGTACCAGACACTGTGCCAAGCATTAAATCTAAAAAGGCACCAAAAAGGATGCTTAGAAATAGGGCAGTAGCCATCGTTTCCTTGTGTTGATAGAATGTTCCTATCTAAAGAAAAAGATATGGCAAGGTTGTTATACATCCCAGGACATGGAACTGGTTAACTTAAACTGAATTTTCTCATGTTTCTATTGGGAAGTATAAAGAAGGAATGAGAAAATTAGAGGCAGAATGTATATCATCCTTGGATGGTAATATATAGTACCAGCGAAAAACTGGCTTTCAGGCTTCTTTTTAGTTTACAGTCCATCTCATTCCAACTCATGACTGTACACACATTCCTTCACAGGCCCCCATTTCATCTTCCTTTAGATTCTGTCCCCCCACAAGTTTCTGCAAAAGTTTCATCTGTAAATCTATCTATCCACATTACAAATTTCTAATGATACAGATATCAACTTCATGCACCTTGAAGGAAAATTCCACTGTAGTGTATTATGAAAAAAAGGGGTCACACACACACACACACACACAAAGTGATTTTTCAGATATTAAAATGTGTAAATATATTTCAGAAATAGACAACAGCCTTTTAAGCACACTTGAAACTTCTCCACGGCCATGATCTTTCCTCCTTAATCCCACGTGATCTGCCAAGTGAGATTGTTTCTAGTGGCTCTGAGGTAGTGGGAGGTTCTTTTACAAAATGTTTGGGGGTTCAGAATTTAAATGTAAATCACTATGTAAAGAAATTCCATTTTACAGGGCACCATTTGAAATAATATTTGAGAATATAGCTTCTAGAGTGCTACTTCTCTAAGAGCCAGCCTCTGAACTGATATAGACCTAACCACTGAAGACAGGTAGTTACTTTTTGGAGATTTCTTGAGGCAGCAAATGTACAACATCCTTTGGTACTCTATCTCAATATATAATCGCTCATAAATCAAGATGTCATTCTTAGGTTTTACCAAATACTCTTGCTGCAATTAAAACTTACTTCCTCTCTCTTAATCTTTTGTGTAGGTAGGAAATAACTGATCATCCTTCTTAAACCTTGTATAATTAAAGACTCTTCACTGCTCTTCAGCTTTATCATTTGTAGGCTAAGCAACCCTATGGGGCTCAAATCTTTTGGTAGTATTTTATTTTGGTGTTAACGCTGATGGATGGATAAATACTGCTTATTCAGTGCTGGAACAGTTTCTCTACTGTACACAAAGAATGTAGAGATTCTGATCAAGATCTTCAGTCTCCAAATGCTGCTATTAAAATGTAGACATTTGGATTTTACACACTTCTTTGGGGAAATCAGTTTTATCGCTGAGCGGTTTTTGGGTGTGATCCTTTTGGATTTCATATAAGAAATATAGTACCAAGGGTTATCATTCTCCAGCATGACAAACGAATCACTGGCCTTTTCTGTGTTACTTCAATAACATTTCCATACGAATACACAGCACTAAAAAAATAATTTGTTTACAGAATGAGCCATTTAAAAATTCTCACTTTACCTTGGTTGATTAGTGTTGTCCAAGGCCTCAAACTCTTCTAGAATGACATGGTTTACCTCCAGCACCCAAACAGAGCGCTGACAATTCATTTGTCCTGACGCAGGCGCCTTAGTCATGAATTGTAAAGTCTGAGATACACCCAGTGACAGGTGCAATGGGTCATACAGGTAGGTGGGGTTGGCAACATCAGGTGTGATTTAGCGGGCGCTGCGCTGGCCCTCTTGTAGTCTCCGACTCACTGCAAACGTTCTTTTAGCATCCTCTTTCCTTGAGGGCTTCAAAAATCTATTAAAAGGAAAGCACCTCTTGAGGGATAACTTAAGTCATTTCCGCTTTTATCAGAAAAGTAAACGCCTAACACTGCGGAAATCTCTACAGGAATAGGAACCGGGGTGGTGGTTCTGGTGTGAGAGCCTTCGCTTGGCGTTTTCTTCAATGCCCTAAATTCCTCCTCCTGTTAGTTAAGTCCCACACATCCAACTGCTTACTCTTACTCTTTAACGCATTTTCACCCTTCCGAGACCAGATGTGTGGATAGAGTTTGTGTCTACCGAGATAGGGCCTGGGCTCTCTCGGGGTAGTTGCGCGGGGTGCTCTGGCTCCATTCGCCCGATAGATATCTAGCTTCAGTCTCTGGTAAGCGGAAACATTTTTAAGCACGACAAAAATAACCACTCGTGCTTCAGGCTGTCTCCCTTGCTGAAGTATCTGTGGAAGGCTGGGAGTTCTACTGGTGAAACATCCCTGGCCCAGCCGCTGGAGGCGCAGCCCCAACGCGCGGCATCCGGGTTCGGGTTCGGGCTCGGGCTCGGGCTCGGGCTCGGGCCGCGGCTCCGGCTCAGAGCCCACCTCCGCCAGGCTCCCTCTGGCCGCATACGCCCCGCCCCCTGCCACTCCTGCGCGCCTCATTGGCCAGGCCCTGAATCCGCCTCGGCTCCTGACTGGCGGCTGCTCCTGTCTGTCTGCGCAGTGGGGACATTTCCGCCGTGAGGGGGGCTGCTCCAAATGGAGGGGGAGGGGAGGTGTTTAGGAGAAAGTGGGGGCTTTGGGTTGCGGGATCCCGCAGCCCGCTGGACGAAGGAGGTCAGAAGCTGGGCTGCGACCACTGGTGAGGGGTTCAAGGTGTGCATGTGTGAGGGGAGAGGGGGAGAGAGAAGGTTGCCTCAGAGGTGACATTCTCTCAGCCTGCGAGCCGTCTTCCAGGCGCGCCATAAACGCCCCCAATTTCCCAGCTACTAAAGGAAGAGGAGGAAGGTGGGTCTCTGTGGCGGTTTGGGGAGGGGCCGGGGCGGGCTTCCCACCACCCCTTGGGCGAGTGTGTTTCCCCCTCTGAGGCGTGTAGAGCATCCTCTGCCTGACCCGGTTTGGCCCCGGAGGCCCAATTTGGGGTTCGACCAGGAGGAACTAGAATGTGTGAGGGTCGGGGCGGGCCCTCCCGGGCTCCTGTCCCTCGGAGTCGCCTCTCCCCTCATGGGTGGCCCCCCAGCGTCCGCTGCGGGGGAGGGCGTGTAGCCTTCGGCCCCTCCCGGGAAAAAGCCGCGGCAAGGTTGCCGCCGCTCCCAGCAGCGAGGCGTTGGTCTGGAGGGCCCCGCCCGCCCGCGCGCCGAGCGCCTCTTAGTCCCGGGACGTTGATGGGCCGGTAGAAAGGGTTGAATCGCTCCCCTCTGCCTGCCTTCCCCGCCTCGCGATCCCTGCAGGGCGGGGACCGCCGTTGGCCAGAGTTTCCCGGGGAACTGTCCAGAGGCCGGACGGCAGAGAGGGGAGGGGGAATAGGGGGTGCGGCCCGCCTGTGCCTGCGGCCGTGCAGCTCCGGAGGGCAGTGAAGTAGCCGCTCTAGATACGCCTCTTTCATTGATGAAATTTAAGTTCGTGTGATATTATCTTTTCCGGGAGCCTCCAGCTGGCCCTCATTTGCGTCAAGGGTTTAGTGTAGCCTGGAGTTCCGAGCCGACTCGGTCGCACCAAGTTTCTGTCTTTTGGAAGTACGGAAGGTTTTCCTGGGTGTTTTTTTTTTCTTTTTTTTTTTTGAGGCAGTTTTAGCCGCTTTGAATACTCCCTTAAGTGGCAAAACATAGGAAGAGGAGAAGGAACTCGTCGGTTGTTAAAGCAGGGGTGGAAGAGAGACCTGCCCATAGCGTGACTCCTCTAGGCATTTGAATATATATATATACACACATATATATATAGGCCAGAGTATTTTAATAAATCCCTAAAATGTCGAGATTTGTACAAGGTAAGACACGCTTCTTTTTTCTCCCGGGTTGCTTTAGCAGTACCGAATTTGGGTACTGGCAGTCTAGAGGTTGGTGGGTGGTTTGGAAGTGGAAATGTTCATTTGAGATACAATTCGCGAAACCCTTTTCGTTAAATTGACATTTGAGCTGTCTTGAGCTGCTGGGTTGGCGTTTCAGATACACGTAATTTATACCCCTGTACTCTGCTGCATTTAGTTCTGCCTCCCTGAAATCAGGTTAGTAGCACTCTGGCTTCCTGGGATAGGGGCTGTAAATGATGATAAAACAGGACTTTGGCTGCTGATTAATCCCTGTTCTCTTTTCCAGGTCGAAGTCAAGGTAACTCTGGGTGCGGACGGGAAGGGGAACTGAGAGGGCTGAGGAAAGACGGGTGGGTTTAGCCAGGACTATTGGGGAAGCTTTAGCGTTCTCAGCTTCTCCGTTTGTGTGTACGTGGTCTGAGTCTCAGATTCATTTATTGCGAAACCGGCAATAGCTCGTAGAAGCCGGAGGTCATTTCAGCAGGAGAAATGACTTTGCTGCATTGCTGTGTTTATTTTTTCCCCTTCTTTGATATCTGTAAATATTATTAAGGTTTCTTTCAAATTAGAAAATTGTTCTCTAAGTTCTATATGTGTTAAAAAAGGTTTAGGGAATGCCTCTCAACTGAGTTAAGCAGTAACATTGCGTGTATGTGTGTGTGTAACGTGTACACATTGAAATTGGTGCTACTTTAAACCTCTGTCATCAATTTGTAGCATAGGATTTGCCTTCTGGTAAAAGTAAACCCTTTTCTTGCAGACCCCGGAGTGTGAAAGCTTCGGCCATCTTGCTGAACACACAGCTAGTATAAAGTTCACAACCACTTAATGTGGCTCTCAATAAATGTAATGTACTCAAAAAAATTGTGTCAGTGATGGCCATCATTTGGCCCTGCGCATAAAAATGCCCTAGTAGGTTTTATATCACTTTATTAACTCTTCTTTGAGTTTTGTATAATAAAGTAAGAGAATTTGCCTGCCTTATTATGAAAACAGATGGGACACTTATGTCTGCCTTTAGGACTAAGCTCAGAAATGTCACTTGTCATTAGACTTTTAAATTCATGTTATGCCTTGTATGTGGTAAGAGATGCTTCTGTTCAGGTTGAATAAATGTCTTAGTCAAGAACAGAAAGTAGAGGTAACTGTAAGAAGTTTGCTGGACTTTGTAACAACAATATTTAATTACCAGCAAACCAGTATTGCAATAATATGCTAGAGAAAAGTGGACAAGTCACTTCTCTTTAAAAGTTAAAAATAACATTAAACTCCAGGTGTTCCTCGTTGTTATGCTTTAGCGCAGCCTACAGAGATGGTGCATGTTGACTAATGTCACATCCTTTGCTGTTTGTTAATGGCTAATTGTTTTCAGGAGATTCTAAATAAAGTGGCAATACCTGTGTATGTTGTTATTCCTTTCCCTTGTCATCCACTTTTTTAAAAAAATCAGCTTTTTATCTTGAGATTTTTAGAAAAGTTGCACATATGTCAAAACTAAGAAATTATCACAAGTACCTTACTATTAACTAAACTACAGACCTAGACTACTTTTCCATGATTCAATCCAACATTGCATTTAATTGCCATCCAATTTGCTCTGAGTGGTAGTTTTCTTTTTAAATTGGCAATTTTGCACAAAAAGATGACACCTCTCCCCTCCAAAATTTTTTTTAACACGATTTTGCTCCTGTTTATCATTGTTTAAATTTGTACTTCAAGTGTAAACTCTCTGTATGTTTAACTCCGCTGCATTGATCAGTGATAAACTATTGGGTAATGATTCTGCTGTCTCCACAGATCAGTTTTTAAGTGTAAGTGTTGGGATTTTTGTTTTTGAATTTTTTTTGGTAGCAAAGATCAAATTGTTTGATCTTTGCTGTAGCATTTATTGATATTTCCACTCATTGACACTTAGCTTGTGCTGCTTCATAAGGAAAAGATTGAACAAATATTAGGCCTCTAAACTGTTTTCATATGTTGTCTCATTTAAGCTTCACAAGAACCCTGAGAGGTAGTAGATTTCAATCATGACCTTACAGGTGAGAAAATTTAAGTATCTTATCCAAAGTTCACAGCTAGTAAGCACTGAAATTCATATATAAATGTGTCTTAAACCCTTGTCCTTTCCAGTACCTTTTATTGCCTCTTATGTTAAAAAAACTTATCAGGAACAATGTCTTCTTTCTCCAACTAGACTATCAGTTCCCTGTGGGCAAAGATAATATATTCCTGGGGGAAATAGAGTGTCTTGAAGTGGTGGATGCTCTGAAAGAATCTGTCATGGATGACAAATGAGAAATGCAGACTTTCCATGTACTTTTTAGTAGTTTAGCCTACTTTTTTTTTTTTTTTGCGGTACGCGGGCCTCTCACTGTTGTGGCCTCTCCCGCTGTGGAGCACAGGCTCCGGATGCGCAGGCTCATGGGCCCAGCCACTCCGCGGCATGTGGGATCTTCCCGGACCCAGGGCACGAACCCGTGTCCCCTGCATAGGCAGGTGGACTCTCAACCACTGCGCCACCAGGGAAGCTCCTAGCCTACATTTTTGGTTGTAGTTTATTAACACCTCTAACATAAATGTTGAGAAAGATAAAAGGGATGGACCTAGGCTTGAATCCTGTTACTAACAGGTGATCATAAACAACTTTTCTGAACCTCCGTTTCTATTTATATAAACATTGGGTATTAGTACTTATGCCAAAGGGTTTTTGAGAAGCTGAAATGAGATTAATTACGTGAATGCATTTAGATGGCCAGTAAATTTTACTTTCCTTTCTTAAAATGATGGTAGCTTTTTGGATAGCATTGCCACTATGAGTATAACCCCATGTCACAAACAGAAACAATGCACCTATGACAGTTCTTTATTTTCCTATTCTAGGTTTGGTGTTCAGGCCTCCAGCAACTTGGGAGTTGATATATATATATTTTTAAAGTATGGGGTTGGAGGGGAAAGCTTGAACAGTGATGTGAATACATAATTGGTGACAGTTTTTGTTTCAGTCCAATCAACAACTAAAATTATGAGCTCTTACAATACGCAATGTACTGTATTGGGATTTCTCCTGTATCCCTTATGGTTGGCATTTGAAATTCAGATCTGTGTATTATACCTGTGTGTTGTGTACACGTGTTTGAATGTCCTGGAACCTGGGGTTGCTATTCTCGGCTTGAATCTCTTCCCTCAAATCTAGGCAATGTGCTTTATAGCAGCGGTCCCCAACCTTTTTGGCACCAGGGACAGGTTTTGTGGAAAACAGTTTTTCCACGGATGGGGGCGGGGGGATGGTTCAGGGGGTAATGTGAGCAATGGGGAGCAGCATTTGCTCCCTAGCCTGCCGCTCACCTCCTGCTGTGCGCCCGGTTCCTAAGAGGGTTGGGGACCCCTGCTTTACAGGAAAGCTAGGCATGTCCATTCTCAAGCACTTTGTAAGTTATTAGGTAGAAATGTTCAATTAATAAAAATAGTTAATGTCAATAG